ATGTAATGATTTATATATACATTCCTGTATTAAATATACATTTGTGAAATCCAAATCAAAGACAATTTGAAATGCTGGGTTGTGAGCGGGAGTGAATGAATTAGTACGGATTTACGCCGCTTTTGGCAATATTCTTGCATTATATGGGGGAATACCAGAAACTCGCTTCACTTATTGTACCAATGTAGAGAGTCGAACCCTGGCCTTAAAGGTGAAGAGGAAACGCTCTAACCACCTGGCTACCATGCAGTACCATGAGCTGAGTGAGTGAGTTTGGTAAGACGCTACTATGAGAAATATTTAGACATCATCACGACAGATACGCCAAATGGGATTAACAATTTAACCATTTGAGGAATCGAACTCGAAATCAAAACTACTGCTGCCTTATTCACGAAGATCCAGGGACGGTGGGGCAGCCTAGTGCGTTCGCTCGTCACGCCGAGAACAAGGGTTCGATTCACAAAAGTGGTAAATGTTTGAGTGAGTGAGTGCGTTTAGTTTTACGCCGCACTCAGCAATATTCCAGCTATATGACGGCGGTCTGTAAATAATCGAGTCTGGACCAGGCAATCCAGTGATCAACTGCATAAGCATCGATCTACGCAATTGAGATACGATGACATGTGTCAAACAAGTCAGTGAGCCTGACCACCCGATCCCGTTAGTCGCCTCTTACGACAGTTATGGGTTACTGAAGACCATTTCTAAGCCGGGTCTTCACAGGTATGTAACCATGGAGACCTGACAGTCTTCAGACGTATAGCTGACACATTGTGATGAAATACAACGATGTTAAAGCGGCGATAAGCCCAACTCATTCACTCACTCACAAATGAGTCTTGTTTAACCGCTGTTCACATTCACCCCGTAAGGACACACATAGGTAGACTCTAAGTCTCTAAGGTAATAATTAATAGTTTAAATGATATTCTCTAAAAAATATAAATATCTAACAGACTGGCGTCCTTAACTAGACATCCCTCATTAAATGATAAAATTACTAAACATCCGTAGGCTAAGCCTTCTGTTCAGCCTTGGAGCACTGCTAACACTTACTGGGTGGGGCACAACGTAATGGGATGGTCAGGCTTGGTGACCTGATCAACTGATCCACGTCGCATCCAGCAGAGCTGGACGATGCTCAGATTACTCCATCACCAGTTTGTCTGATCCAGACTCATATTAACAGGCCACCGTGACATAGCATCTATATTCCCTACTGCCACACAATCTCATCTCTACAAAGAATATGGATATCGGTGAAGATTTTCAAGTTTTTAGCGGGGTATAGTTTTTTCGCAAACTTTATTTTAACAGCATTTAACCCCCATTTGTCTACTCTGACGGGTGTGTGAGTGTACCAACACTTCACAAAATGTAAATCCTCCCGTGTAAACAAGCCCGGATCAAGATGCAGGAACGTCATACAGGCCTACTGGCCCAGGCTAATGAGTAGGCGTGATCGTGTACGGCGAGGTAATTCCCTTTGTATACACATAACCTTCCCACTGGTTCTCGTGTGGTAAATAGGGTACGATCTAAAAAATACCATGTTCAAACTCAGAAATCCTTAATGCCGCTCTCCTTCCTTTAAGAATGTGATTTGCTCATTGTTGCATCACAAATGTTACTTACTTTTCAACTCAATCACTTTTTGAGTTTCCGTGGGAACTCTACTTAACAGTACTTGATATTCTTTTATGCACATTTGTGTCTCGCAAGTCTTATAAGGTTAAACTTTTACCTATGTTACGGTTAGTTTTACCAATCTTACGGTTAGTTTTATCCATGTTACGGCTAGTTTTATCCATGTTATAGTCATGATTTCATCATGATTCCTCTTGAGCTACACAGACAATGGATGACATCACGAACAATGTACTAAGAACGATTCACACAGTCTGTCAGTCAGATCTTCGTGTAGGCCTAATGGTTAAGCGTCTGCAAGTCAGGCTGAAGACCCAGATTCGATGCCCCACATGGTACAATGTACGATGCACAATTGTGGTATCTCCCGCAGTAATATTGCTGTGATATTGCTAAAAGCGGCGCAAAACCATACTGACTCCTGGTACCCCGGGGTGGCGGGGTAGCCTGGTGGTTAAAGCGTTTGTTCGTCACGCTAAAGACCCGGGTTGAATTGCTCACATGGGTTCAATGTGTGAAGCCCAATTCTGGTGTCCCCCCGCCATGATATTGCTGGAAAACTGCTAAAGCGGCGTAAAACTAAACTCACTCAATCCCGAGGGGCTGGTGGATAGGGCTTCTGTGAGGAGAGCGGAATGACGTTGGGTCGAGTTTCGTGTCACACAGGACACGATAATAAAACAATACGTTTGTAGCAAAGATTATTGATTACATTCAGTTTTGGTGTAACTTGTAAAAGCTACAGGGCTTACCAGCGACTGTAATACATTAATACCAACAAAGCATTCGGCACACACAATAAAATGAAAAGCATCTAGTTGCGTTTTGAGCTAGCATGTGATAAAGTTGATGTAGAGTGGCCCTTGTTCACAAATGGTGGGATGATTTAATCATGAACACATGGTATGTTCCTTGAGTGAGTTTAGTTTTACGCCGCTTTTTGCAATATTGTAGCAATATGACGGCGGGGGACACCCATGTGGGAACTCGAACCCGGGGTCTTCGCCATTTTGACACCAAACTACTCTTAAGTCCCTTAGAATTGTACTCCGACGTCGTCACTTGTTGACGTCAGCTGCGAAGAATAAACTACGAGCTTGGGCTGGGACGGGTCCAAGTTTCCTACCCGGGTACCCTACCCTCTAAAACCCGACCCGACCCGGGTACCCGTTATTTGATGCGGATGCCTGCGTTCCTGACTCTTTTACATGCAAACAAGAAACCATTTTGCAACCTATAGTACACGTAGCATGCTTAGTTGTCGACAGTTGATATCTAGTGAGTTTTTGTGCAAGTTTTGTCCACAATATCAAATATAAGACAACAATCTCGTTGTTAATAAAATAACAACAAACACATTCAATAAATTTTACATTTATAAGTCACCTGATCAAAGCGGGTCCGGGTGATGTGATGGGTACCCGGGTCCAACTTTTTACCCACCCGTCGCGGGTATACTTGTTACCCGTCCCAGCCTTACTACGAGCGAGCAGTAATTAGTAATTATCATTGATTGTCCCAAGCCATTAAATAGATTATGTGATAGTCTTCATATTGCATAGTCCTTTTCAGAAAATGTTAAAGTCTTCTGTGACATCATAATAAAAGGACGACGTCTTCTTCGGGTCTTTTCAACAACGATACTGCTTCACGTGAAGGTCCGGGTTGGAGTTGGTCTATACAGTAACCCATGCTTGTCGTAAGAGGCGACTAACGGGATCGGGTTGTCAGACTTGGCTCACACCTGTCATCGTTTGGGCGGTGGGGTAGCCTAGTGGTTAAAGCGTTCACTCGTCACGCCGAAGACCAGGATTCGATTCCCCACATGGGTACTATGTGTGAAGTCCATTTCTAGTGTCCCCCGCCGTGATATTGATGGAATATTGCTAAAAGCGGGGTAAAACTAAACTCACTGACTCATGTCATCGTATCCCAATTGCGCAGAACGATGCTCAATGCTGTTGATCACTGGATTGTCTGGTCCAGACTCGATTATTTACAGACCGCCGCCATAGCTGGAAAATTGCTGAGTGCGGCGTTAAACAAACAAAAATCAAAATAAACAGCGGCATGGTATCTCAGTGGACGAGCGCTGTAAAATATTGTTCGGACAAAAAGCTACACAGACCTGCATGCGCGTGGGTAGAAAGTTCAATAATCTTGGAAGCAGTTCAACGCCATTTTATTCACCAGCATGAAAGAGAACAACAGTTCTTCGTACAAATAATGAACATAATTCCACCGACATCCGTGACGTTGATGCTGATTGTGCTCTGTTGTATAATGGTAACGTATTATTTCGGTTCGATTAACGGCCTTTTATTCTCAACTATATTTTCCTATATCAGAATACTTCTTATCAAAACGTAGTAATTGTTTTATGAGCGTGATAGATCAAAATGTCAACTACAACCCGTACTTACAACTCCATATTTAAAAGCTGAACCGAAGAGTAGGTTTCTTCAATAATAAATGCTGCCTTAGGAAGACGGCTTTAATTATGAGCCGTTTTGAGTAGATTCTACGACACGGTACAAGCTTTCTGTAAATTATTTAACTCAAAGTATGCATCATCAGTGTGGGATGGCATAAAGATCACACGCAACTTTAATATAGAGTTTGGTCACATTCCGGTTTCATTTTCAAACATATCCGTCTTGGTTTCATGAACAATAGACGTAACTTCTGATTGAGCCAAACTGGCACGATACTCCAAAATGCCAACTGAAAGAGAGTCGTTTCAAGACGCAAAAATACAATATAAACACCACAAACAAAAGCAAACTCAACACGTTCGGGTTTTTATTAATTCTTTCAGAATAAACATATTGTACCTTTATGTTGAATATTGTCAAGGGATCTATTTTGCCACACGTTTTTCAAATTCTGTCTTTCAAAATACGAATTGGGTTTCACAGCAGCCTTGGCTTTTGACACGGTGCACATCGCACGTGTGTGGCGGAAAAACAGGATATGGTCTGGTCGTATAAAGGTATTGAACCCAGCCTTTATATTCTCACTCTCCGTTGCGCGGACCTGTCGTGTGCCAGCGTTGGCTGTCGTGTGCTTTACCAGAGCGGAACGCTCTCTCCTTTAAACACACGGGCCGCCAGTGTTGTGATTCTATGTAAATGTGCCTCCTCACTACCCTGGCTCGAGAACGGGAAAATATAGTCCCTCCATGTCACTGCAGTTAAACGACCTGGAGACAGTGGTATAAGCTAAAATCACAGTTATCAATTCACCAGACAGATTGTGCGTTCTTGCAACAAGGAATTCTGTTACTGATCCAGGTTTTGATCGAAGGTGTTCGCTCCAGGTATCCCCGCGCCGGGCGTAGTAATATGTAAGACGCTCGCCGCAAGCGGCTTGGCACGAGTAAAGTTTTATTGAAAGGAATAGGGAGAAGTAAAGTTGGATTACTAGTGAGAGGGACCAATACAAACGGATTTACACTCCTCGGACGCTATGCGGATTTATTCTATATGGAATTAGGATATGTGCAATTCGTGAGGAATTGGATTACAAATTCTGTGCGCAATGTTACGGACAGCGAAGGGGATAGTCGCGGCGCTGTTTTTAGTGTTAGCGGTGATAAGTGGACCCCTTGTAAAAGGTGAGATGCATTCCTTTAGAAAAATGGGCCATCGTGATTTCGGCTAGCGGACTTTTAATTGGGGTGTCTGGGTTGCCTATTTTGTCATTTTTAATTTTTGTACGGCCTGAGATTGAATCTTGTTCATCTTTAGTAACTTTTAACATGAATTTGACGTATTTACAGGCTTTTCCCACGGTCAGAATAACTTCTGATGGGGGACTGTCTTTGTTTAAACCGTCCATTTTGAAACACTAAAGGGTACTGATATCGCAGAGGGTCGAATTAAGTATAATTTTTGATAGATGCTCTTTGTTTTCTTTCATTTAAATTAAGAGGTCATGTGAAAGTTACAATGTTTGGCAAGTAATAGAACTAAGAATTCATGAGTCATATTGGAGCTCGCATGTTTACCTTTCAAAAATAGACTCGTGCACTTGTTACGCGCAGTCGGTAACACTGCACGTGTTTTTCATGATATTTATGCGTTCTCGGATGTTTTATCGAGCAGTGATAAAAATAGACACGCAGACGTCTTATGTAATAAGGGTTTTTACAACGGTTTGTGCTCAATTGAAAATAAATGCCCAGAGCAGACGATGCAATATACTTTTTATCACCTGTCAGAAATAAACATTGTTTAACACTGTTAGCCAACATCTTGTGGTTAAGGTTTTGAAGATATCGAAACAATGTTGAACTGAATATTCTTTCCCCTTACAACACGTGTATAACGTCTCATTGATGATTTGTAGAAGGTATGAGTGAGTTTATTGGCTTTAACCACTGCACTTGTTATTAGTATTTTAGTTGGGATTATTACGCTTGAGTAACACCGAATTGTGCTTGTTTTGTAAATGTTTGCATAATTACATATTCACCCTTTTTGAGATGAGAAGCAGCTTAAATTGTTGTTTCTGTGTCAATGGATGGTAGTGATTGATTGTTCAGTATACTCTGTGAATTGTGATAGTTGATCAAACTGCTGACTGGTACCATTAGTAATTAATTGCAAATTGCAACCAAATAAGCTTAACTGGCTATCGATGTCATTTGTTATCATTGGTTACAACACTCTTTGCCACTATATAACTAAGCACATTTTGAATTCATTCTTCTTATATTAAACATTTTATCTTTAAGTCTTAGGCATGGTATGAATATATTACATTGTTTTGTTGTAATGTAATAATAAAAGTAATAGCCTCTCTCTACTTGAGATTGAACTATCTCACTTCTTCTGATGCTTGTTTTATATCCCTCCCCAGCTCTTTGGATTGATAAAAAGCAATTAAGCCCTCAAGATCGATGAAGCACTAAAATATGTTAAACATCAAGTAGAATAGAAATGCTGCTAAAGGTAAATGAACAGGTTGGGATCGTGGTTGATGGTTCATAATGACAGATAAGCCCCATATTTTAGTACAGTTTGTGAAACAATGTCTTCATTTATCTACAAGGCAAATACTAATGGAATATAAGTGTAGCAGTGTTAAACTCCATACTCACTATTTGTAGATACAACTGCTGTGAGTGGGTGAAACTAGGCTTCCAAAACGGGAGTATTAATGTTTATTATGATAAAACCTATTACAAATCCAACTTCAATTTAAATGCACACATAAGGTCACTTTGCCCAAAAGGTGTGTAAGTTAGCCTAATGGCCCTCATTTTGTGAGTATTGTAATAGTTTGTCTTTATATGTTAGTGTGTTACAGCTTTACAAATATTTAACATATTCATATGAATGAGTGCGTGAGGGAGTTTGGTTTTACCCCACTTGTGGAACTGTATTCCATTTAATATGAGAGGAAACCCACATGGATGCTGGCCTTGGACATGACCACATCTTTTGAGGAAGTACCAGCTCATGCTGTCAGTCAGTGGTATACCTCCCACAGATAACAGAATTTCCAGGATGTTGAGAGAAACCTGGAATGTTGGCTTCCTACGTAAACCAATGTCACTCACATAAGCTTAAAAATGTGTATTTTTAAGACCAGTCCAAGGGATGAGCGTAAAGCCAATTTCACTAGACCCGAGAATTTACAACTTGTCCTGGTTGAATGAAACAAAAACGTTTGTTGCGTTTATATATCAGCTTTATTCAGTTTCCTTTTATATCAAAATGAAGCATTGATAACTGGCTGTAGTTATAACATTCAAATGCAATGGTCAACATGGACTACGAATATTGGACTGGCCCCTAGGACATGTTGATAGTTATGGACTGGCGCGAATTAGGAAGGCTGCTGGTTCCCTCAGTGAGGCTGAGACTTATGAGTATACATGCACTTGAGTGCTACATTGAGGCATCAGTGTTGTGGGATCATGGATGTCTGGAGGTTTTACACTGATGACCCCTTCAAACCAGTGTTAGAAATGAAGGGGTCCTTGAGGTTGTCTGGTAATAGTGGTATTCTGCCATCGAAATTCTATTTATTTGTACTACATAAGTAGGAATCCAATGATAGGTCCTCTTTAAATGGTAGCATATGAGGGCTGTAATTATCAATGCTTTAGTTTTTGTTAAAACTGATGAAAATGTATACATAGTGCCACTTGAATCAATGTAATAAATCTATGTAGGCATAAACTTAGGGTTTTAATCTTGCCAACTCATTAAAGGAGATCAAATTTCAAGCTTTAAAAATGATTTCAGTATTTTATGGTGATGCCGCTTCATGGGTTATCATTAATGAATGAATGAATTGTTCTAATACTTAGCACAGCTTGGAATGTTATGCTGTAGAATAATGTCTTCATCTGTTGATTAAGGGTGAATTCCATTGAACAACTGGGGTATGATTTTAATGGGGGTTATTTAGCACAGGAATTTCTAGCAAAATGTTTCACTGTTAAAGATGATGTATGTCAATTTTTACATCTTTCACCAAGAACTTTCGCCTCAAAATGATGCTACAACATGTGTGATAACATCGCATATCACCCTGAGATACACATCAGTCGCTATATATATTTGTTACCGAATTCCACATCCAGGCCATTTTGTCTAAAAATACATCTCATGCAAGAGATCTGTGAGCTTCCCTCCCAGTATGGTGGATCCTGGAGGCAGAACAGGCACTCTGGCTTATCTACATGTTCAGTCAACTAAAACTAGAATCGATTGCCAGGATAATGGCCTCTGCTTTTAGTCGGTACCAAACAATACCTACATTTAGACATTATGGCCATCATCCTCCAGTATGTAATACCTGGCAGATCAATAGTGCTGTTAAGTTCACTTCATTGATTTGGCGTTGTCCCTACAGAAACCAGGCATCGGGACATGGCTTTCAAAAGGGGAATTCCTAGCTCTTCAGTGCTGTTGCTTTGTGTTCTTTCGGGTTAAAAAGTCCTCATTGTGGCTTAAACAATATATCTGAACCATGTTTTGATATCATATTCTAGGCTTAATTGTGACAAAAGGTTCTTTCCTTAATCATTATTTTAAAATTCCTTATTTTGCTTAAAAGTCACATGCAACGTAAAACACAACTTTGCAGATTCTGATACCTTTCGGTATGGACTTACCGAAACAAATCATAAAAATGCAAATTCAACTTATAAAGTTGAAAAATAACGCAATGAAAAAAACCCGCGCGAAATCGGAGTTCAAACGATTCACTAATTTTCCCCAGCACTTGGGGGAAAAAGTGGTTTCAAAAGCTTGGCTGCGCTCATAGCACATGTGCAGTGAAATAGGTTCGTGCAGCTTGGAAGCGGGTTGTCCGGTGAATACTCTGTGAAGGCTTTGGTGTGAGCTATTTTTCTAATGTTTTGTTGATATTTCACAGGCCCGAGCATTTTATATGTTATGACAGTAGATTACCGATTTAACTGTTTATATAATTTCATTTGTCTATTTCACCACACGTTCTTCTTACCGAGTCACTTTCTCAGTTCGATACTTAAAAGCAATGTCATTATTTAGCGTTGACAGAATTTCTAACTGTACGTGTGATATAGATATGTCGTTGTCACAGACAAAACTCAATGTCTGTTTTCTTGACATCTATGTGTCTGCTAATGACAATATTCAATACACAACTTCGATGACTGACCACATCTACTTAACACCTATCAAGCTATACACCATAAACAAAACGCATTGATTTATGGCCCAAGTTCGGTCTCTGTCACATTATGTAATTACACAGACAGGCAGGTGTGATACTTGTACACATGCCATGTTATGATGTCTATTGATTGCAAAATGTTATACACAAAAACCCAACATCTCTATATATATCACATCTGGGCATCGGCAAATGAACCAGCCGTTACACTTGAGTGCACACCCACCCGCTCTGACTGGGTTCGGTATCCCGGCTGCTTCGTTTCTTGGGAAGTAAACCCAAGTACAAAATATTGCACTTTTGATTTGCGATTGTACGCTTATAATTTTTTTTTATGTTTTTCTATAATCAGCAATGTATATTATATGTCATGAATAAGTGATAATTGTGTTTTAATTATGTTTGATTTTTTGGTTGCATGTGACCTTTAAAGGCAGAGGTATTTTAGCATGGTGTTGTATTCAGTTATATAAGACTTAGTATTAAAGCCCTCAATTTCTTTGTTATTCCTATTAGCACAGACAGCAGTGAAACCCAATCACTTATGTACAGGTAAATGATGTAGGTATGATTATAGTTATAATACCTGGATTAATTCTTGAATTCAATTAATATACAGAAAAACTTGAAAATCAAATATTCAAAAAATCCATAAAATCAAGGTCTGTTGTCAGTGGTTGTGTACCAGTGGTTCTCGTCCTTGGGGGCAAAAAACCCATTGGTTTCTGAAATGTAATTATGTTTTGGCCCTGAAATGACACTTTCAGACAGGTGCAGCAAAGTAAAAGCAAAAAGATATGTCGGTAGCCTAGTTGTTAAAGTGCTTGCTCCATGTGCCAAATACCCATGTTTAATTCCCCACATGGTTTCAATGTGTGACCCCTATTTCTGGTGCCATGTTGTTATTGGAATGCTTCTGAGATTGGCTGAAAAGCATGT